CACACTCTCAGACCCAAACTCAAACTCAAAGCCAAACCCAGAACTCCCGCACCTCTGCTGCTCGTCCGACCCCGAGTCTGCACCGCTCCCTCAGCTACTCGCCCACATCGGCCCCTCGTCGTGCTGACACCGACCCAAACCTCAACCCGCTCTCCCTTGTCGCCTCGCTGCAGGAGCCCCCATCGTCAGTCTCTGCCGCAAACAGATCTTCGACCACACCCTCCTCGCCAGCCGTGGAGCGACCGCAAGTTGATGCGCTCCCGCCCCTCCTCGACGACCCCATCGCGAGTAGCAGCAGTAGCAGCAGTGTTCAATCCGCGCCGCAAGTTGGGCAGCCATCTCAGCCTCACGTTGATACCGAACCGGCCAACATGACGAGAGCACGCGCTTCCACGACGGGCGACGCCGTGCCCAAGGCATCGTCCCCTGTGCCCGACAGCCTTCCCTCGATCCGCTTCTCGGCCTACTACGACCCCCGCGCAACGCGCCCGAGCCTGACGTTTCCGCCCGTATCGCGAACGTTGCCTGGCGGCAACGAGATCATTCGGGTTGGCCGCTACTCGGAGCGAGACAACCAGCCGCCCGTGCCTGCCAACACCCCTTCGGCCGCCCCCGTGGGCTTCAAGAGCAAGGTTGTCAGTCGACGACACTGTGAATTTTGGTACGAGGATGGGAAATGGTACATCAAAGACGTCAAAAGTTCCTCGGGCACCTTCCTCAACCACATTCGCCTCAGCCCTCCCGGCACGGAGTCGAAGCCGTTCCCCGTTAACGATGGCGACATCGTGCAGTTAGGCATTGACTTCAAGGGCGGTGAGGAAATGATTTTTCGCTGCGTGAAAATGAGGCTGGAGCTCAACCGCGGCTGGCAAAACAAGCTCAACACTTTCAAGTATATTTTCCGCCATATGTAGTCGATTCTGTGCACTAACGTGGTATAGCATGGCAACACACAAGCGTCTACGAAATATGACTTCTGCCAACTCGGCAAATTCTTCATCGACCCAGGACTGTTCCATTTGTCTCAACTCAATCGCGGTATGTAGCCGGCATGCATGCATTGATTCCCCACATCGCGTGCCAGCATACAGACTAACGATCTTTCAGCCATGCCAGTGCCTGTTCGTGGCGCCTTGCTCGCACACCTGGCATTTCAAGTGCATCCGCTCTCTGTTGAATTCCCCACAATATCCCATTTTCGTATGTCCGAACTGCCGCATGGCTGCCGACCTCGAGGCGGACATTGAGGATCCCGCAGAAGACTGGGAGCAAATGGACGAAGACGAGGAGCTTGAGCAGAAGGAGGAGGCCAAGGACAAGGCCGTGGTTCCAAGCGAGCCTCTCCCCGCCCCCGTAGCGGTTTCGGCAGAAAGCTCGCGGCCTGTGTTGCCCGAGATTGGCACTGAGCCTGATGCCATGGATTTTACTGTAGCCTTGGATCGGGCCCGCACCATGGCTGAGATGCCTCCGCCGCAATCGGTCGCTCCCCACGCCACTATCGAGCCGGTCCCGATTCCTTCGGTCGGGCCATCGCAAGCGGCCGCTCCACGTACTGGCCGTGACACCCGGACGCCATCCCCTATTGGAAACCACTTGACGAACGGTACCGAAGGTCCCATCACCCCGCGTAACGACGCCGGGCCATGGGTATTCGATGGAAGCGCCGGTCGCCGTGCTGCGGAAGCTGCCAACGGGATGAGAAGCCTTGACGAGGCTGCAGAGATGGACGTTGACCGGTAGAACCGGTCCCGGCATGATGAGTCCGTCACGGGCTGCCGAAAGCGGGATTCAAGTTTGATGTTAACGGATATTGAAAGGGCTTCATCAACGGAGTCTAGGAAGAGACCGGCTGCATGAGCGACGCGTAGGATGGTGTAAGGCGTTTTGATGCATTGTGGAGCGGACTCTGCTCGCTAAACCGGAACAGAGTTGTTTTTCATTGTGGCGCTGGCTGGGGCAAGGAATGTTGGGCGGCTGAGAATGGTTATCCAACAGCGACGGCTTTACATGACCATGGAGCGTTGGCATTCCGGAGGTCAATTATAGCATCACATTAATACAGCGAGATCACGGCATAAGCCACCAGATTTTCAAAATTCGTCACTCCCATCACTTATTCGTACCAACCGCTGGACAGCTGAAAGGTGCTCATTGCCCCATCTGGGGTCCAGCCTTAATGGGATTGCCGCTGAGGAACTCATCCCTGAGATCAGTCATATCTCAAAAAGATGGCCGACATGCTTATTTCATCTAGTATGTGTCGAGGTTCGCTCCTTCGGAAGAGGCTGTCAGCAGGACGAGGAGAAGGGTCCGGATGACGTCTTCCAGCTGCATGCAACGGCTCATCGCTGATTGGCTCACACGGGTGGCCAGGGTCCCGATACCTCCGATGGCGATAAGCCCGATAAGGAAGATCAAGAATTCCCGGGCGGCAGCAAACCAGCTTTCCGAGAGCAGCGAACTTTTCCCAGGCCCTCGCCATCGCGGAAAACCCACCCCCACCCGCCATCTCAACCTCAACTCTCCTTCACCCCGCCGCCCCGGGTTGACGAATTCGAATACTCCAACCCATATACACAACACACATTGCGATGCTTCGAACATTAGCGACGCGCCTACCGCGGCGCACCGTCGCCACGGCCGCGGCGCCGGCCTCAAGACTCACCACTTCCGCACTCCGCACCAGCACCACCCGGGCACTATCAACAACACCACCAACACTAAAGTCCGCTCCCCGCGGGCCGAAAAACGTCAAGATCGACGCCATCCCCAAGGAACCGACGGACCTCGACGCGATCACGACGCTGCCCAACGGCCTGCGCGTCGCCTCGGAGGCGCTGCCGGGCTCCTTCTCGGGCGTGGGCGTCTACGTCGACGCCGGCTCGCGGTACGAGGACGCCGGCCTGCGCGGCGTGAGCCACATCATGGACCGCCTGGCCTTCAAGAGCACGTCCGGCCGCTCCGCCGACGACATGATCGAGCAGGTCGAGGCCTTGGGGGGGAGCATCCAGTGCGCGAGCTCCCGCGAGAGCATGATGTACCAGGCGGCCAGCTTCAATGGCGCGGTGCCGACGACGATCGGGCTGCTGGCCGAGACGATCCGCGACCCGAACCTGACGGAGGAGGAGATTGCGGAGCAGCTGCTCACGGCGGAGTACGAGATCAACGAGATCTGGAGCAAGCCGGAGCTGATCCTGCCGGAGCTCGTGCACACGGCGGCGTTCAAGGATAATACGCTGGGCAACCCGCTGCTGTGCCCGGAGGACAGGCTGGGTGCGATTTCGCGGGAGACGATATTGCGGTACCGCGATCTGTTCTACCGCCCGGAGCGCATCGTGGTTGCGTTTGCTGGTGTCGAGCACGGCGAGGCTGTGCAGCTGGCGGAGCAGTACTTTGGCGACATGAAGGCTTCAGAACCCACGCTCTCCCGCACCGGCTCAGAAACCTCCATCTCAGACGCCTCATCCTTCGCTTCCTCAACATCCACCTCCTCCTCGCCCTCCCCCGTCCAACAACCTTCTAAGCTCCTCTCCAAAGTCCCCTTCTTCAAAAACCTCTCCACCTCCGCCCCCGCCAACGCCGACGTCCTCACCTCCTCCACCCCGCTAACCCACGACATCAACGCCCCCGCCCGCTACACCGGCGGCTTCCTCTCCCTCCCGCCCCAGCCCCCGTCCAACAACCCCAGCAACCCCAACTACACCCACATCCACCTCGCCTTCGAGGGCCTGCCCATCAACTCGGACGACATCTACGCCCTCGCGACCCTCCAAACCCTCCTCGGCGGCGGCGGCTCCTTCTCCGCCGGCGGCCCGGGCAAGGGCATGTACTCGCGCCTCTACACCAACGTCCTCAACCAGCACGGCTGGGTCGAGTCGTGCGTCGCCTTCAACCACTCCTACACCGACTCCGGCCTCTTCGGCATTTCCGCGTCCTGCATCCCCGGTCGTACCGCCTCCATGCTCGACGTCATGTGCCGCGAGCTGCGCGCGCTCACCCTCGACACGGGCTTCTCGGCGCTCAAGAAGGGCGAGGTCGACCGCGCCAAGAACCAGCTGCGCTCCTCGCTGCTGATGAACCTCGAGAGCCGCATGGTCGAGCTCGAGGATTTGGGAAGGCAGGTCCAGGTGCACGGGCGCAAGATCCCCGTGACGGACATGTGCCGCAAGATCGAGACGCTGACGGTCGAGGACCTGCGGCGCGTGGCGCGCGTGGTGGTCGGCGGGATGGTGGAGAACGCGGGCCGGGGCAGCGGCGCGCCGACGGTTGTGCTGCAGGAGGCGCAGGCGCACGGCGTGAGCACGCATTCGTTGACGTGGGAGGCTATCCAGAATACGATTCATGACTGGCAGCTGGGTAAGAGGTGAAGGTGAAGACTGAAGGACGAGGGATGTGTGTGTGTGTGTGTGTGTGTGTTTCCCGCGTTGCAGGAAAATAGATGAGTGGTGCGCTAGATTTGCTAGACGCGATTAGAATGGCGAGGCCATTATTTGTACCATATGAAGAAAGGGAAGGAGAATCCGTGTAAAAGTAATGGTTGGCTGACGTTTTCTTCGTAAAAGACGAAAAGAAAAGTTATCATGAATGGGCTGAGAGGACGCCCGGTTAGTTGTAGAAATCTCATGACTTATAACATAAATCACATCCGTCTATTGAGAATGCTGTGTTAGTTGAGTGAGTGACTGAGATATCCAGGCCAACGTCACGACAGTAGCGTATATGAGATCAAATAAAATCCGTGGGCTGACATTTGATAAAAAAAAAAATGGAAGTCTTTGGTATATTGTATCTGGTCTCCTGTAATAAGCAGTGCGCGAACACTATGCATCATTCCCCCTTCCCTCAGTCGTGTAATAAGTTCTAGGTTGTTACATCTTGCGAGCAATCAAAAACGCCTTCTCCGTCTGGATTGTATCCTCCCTGCCAATGACCAATTACGCCTAATACGGTGAAAGCAACCAAAACAAAAGAAAATGAGCGCGGCAGTTGTTGGTGGTACATTACAACTTGGACCGAATAGCCTCGAGCCGGTACTTCACATCCTTCAGCGCCTTGGTGACGGGCTTCCAGTCGTCGAATTGCCTCAGCAGCTCCTCCGTCTCGGACGACAGCTCGGTGCGGACAAAGTCCTCCTCCAGCAGGCCGCGCATGATCCAGGGCAGGTGGTACGGGTTCGGGTTTGCCAGGGAGGATCCGGCGTCGCGGCGGTGGGCGACGGTGGCGGGGACGTTTGGCTTGACATCGGCCGTCTCTAAGGCGTGGGTGACGGCGAGGTCGTAGACCTGATCATCGTAGTAGAGGCGGGAGTGGCCCTCGCCCGAGTAGAGGCTGCCGGCGAGCGGGGTGGAGAGTTCGCGCACGAGGCCGTGGTCTGAGACGCCGAGGTTGCGGAGTTTAAGTGCGAAGCCGACGAGGTGGGCGATACTGGCTTGGGTGTTAGATGGGAAACTTGGAGAATGAGAAGAGGTGAGGGCACTCACAAGTCTGGGGCGTGGATACGACCGTCAATGAAGACGGCGCGGTAGATGTAGGGATGAGAGGCCGGGGAGTAAATTGCGGATTCCATTGGGACGAGTTGGTCGTCTATGCTGCCGATATACGTCATTCTGACGCCGTAACGGAGGACTTCTTTAAGTGCGTTTTCGTATTTCTTGGAGACTTCGCTGTCTGGGTTGGAGAATTCCCAGAGCTCGTTGGCGGAGCCCATTAGGATGCCCATGCTGGACTTGTAGTCGGGGAATGGGCCTAGAGAGACTCCAGCTGTAAGGTATTAGCATGTGATTTGTGAGAGTTCCTAGTAGACTCACCCATCGCGCAGACACCAATCTTGGCGTTGGTGATGATGCCCAAGTCTATGAGCTTTGCCAGCAGCATAGTTGCGACTGGGACGCCCTGAGAGTGACATGCCAAAATGATGAGGTCTGCGTTACGTATCTGCTCGATCCAGTTAAGAAGGAGCTTCCACAAGTTGTCTACCCTATCTCCAATTCTGCCCTCGCCTTCCAGGGCAATCTTCTCAATCTCGCAATCGGAGCACCCGTGAGCGTCTGCCCATCTACCGATAGCTTCGGCACAGAGACTTGCAAAGCGAAGCGAAGTCCCCGTAGGCTGTCCTACCATGGGACGGAGATACGTTGCCGGAAACAAGCCGTGGACTCCGATGGCGAGGGCTTTCTTGATCTTTGGTGTCTCTTTTACTCTATAAACGTGGTTTGCGGGAGGTTGCTGATTCCGTAAAAGCAGGGATGTGATCTGTTTAATGATCGATGGGTTGTCCTTCATCCGGTATGTGCTTCCAAACGAAGGCAGTAAAAGATTGGGTGGCGTTGATTTTGATGGAGTTTCTTGGCTGGTACTCTTTGGGGTTCCCGGCTTGAGGGGTGGTTCCTTTGGGGTCTTGTCGGTGATTGAGGCTCTTGAAGACGCAGCCGAATCGGGACGTGTAGGCGTTTCTGGCCTCGCCTGAACGTCGATCTCCATCGACTGGGGCCGGACTCGCTTACTCTTCCTACCAAAAGTCGACGGCGCAGATGCGATTCCCGACTTAATACTTTTGGCGGGTTTCGTATCTTTGGAGGCCTTCGCATCCTTGGTATCCTTCATCACGCTGTCCCGCTCGGATTGATCCACACTTGTTCTCTCCGGATGCGCTTCTGAGCCTTGACCCATGACTGCAAGTTCACCAGATTCCGGCTGAGGCTTGGCATTTTTGGCGTCGTCAGATTGTGTCCGGCTTTCTCTCGACCAAAATGCCCATGTTGAGCCGGCTGATGGCGGTTTCTGGGCGTCTTGTTTAGAGGCATCTTGCTTGGGAGCATCCGGTTTTGGCGGCGGGGCATCCTCCATCACTACGTCTTCTGGCTCTTGTGCAGGTGGTTCAGTGGTGGTGGTGGTTGGCTGATCTGGTTCTATCGGCTTAGCGATAGCGGGATCTGCGATCACAGGCGGCTCTGCAGAGGTGCTGGAGTACCAAAACCCAAACCAAGATGTCGTCGTCGGTGTCGGTGAAGTTGCCGCGGCCTGGTGGGTTTGCTCGGGTGCTGGCACCTCGGCAGGCGGTGGTTGCTGCGGTTCTGGCTCTTTCGGGGGTTCTTCCACTTTTGGTGGCTCCTCAGTGGGTGCCGGTGCTGCAGCTTGTGCATCTGTCGGCGGCGCGCGCCCCAGCCAACCAAACCAACTTGATGCCGTCACGGGCCGTGGTGGATTCTGATCGTCCGTCGCGGCCTTCCCAGCGTCGTCGGATTTTGCCGGCGTTTCCTGCGGTGGTGGTGATGGCTCCGTAGTTCCAGCCTGCAGGTTCGTCGTCTCGTTATCTGTCTTGTTTGTTGTTGTTGTGGCGGCGGTCTCCTCTGCCACTGCACCGTTCTCGGGAATCTGGGGAAGCGACACAGACGAGTCTGCGGGACCGTCGAAGCTCGCAGTATCGATGCTCTTTTTCGTATCGAAACGTCGGAAATCGGGGGTGCTGGATGGCTTCAGAGTGCCTCCGAAGATGGTTTCCCGGGCAAGCTGCGTTGATGCGGAGGACTTGGGGGCGCGCGGCCAGGAGCCGTACCAACTCCTTGCTTTGCGGACCTGCACCATGCTGTTTAGACTTTTGCGCCAGAGCATGTCACAACTCAACAAAAATGGTGAAGCAATACCTGTTTCTGGGAGTCTGGCTTGGTGATCTTCGTTTCGCTGCCGCTCCTATCTCTCGCCATCGGAATCTCTCGCGGTGGCCGGTGGACGGGCTCTGAGACGGCCGTGACCTGTGACGTAGCCGATGTTGCTGTCGCAGGGGCGATTGCGGCAGGTGGGTTGGATGAACTTGGCTCTGATGGGTTGGGTCGCTGGCGCTTTCTGGGAGACATATCGCGGGGAGGGCAGCTTTTAGTCGTGGTTAAAAGTCTGGTCGGCAGCTGGGAAGTCAATCTGCCGCATGTTCGTTTTAAGAATTCGTCATTGGGAGGGGATGGTGGAAGATGTGAGAAGAAGGGATGACATTAATTAGGAGCTGCTGGCCTTATTGTTGTTGATTACCCTCCGGGCCTACCTACTTTCATTGACTGGAGGTACTTAGCAGGCAGGTAGGTACCTTGGGCAGGCTGCCTAGCGGGGTGCGCCCGTGTTTGCGCTGCGTTTGGCTAGGATCCCGTGGTGAGCGCTACCTGCGCCGACCGACCCCTCCAAATAACCCCCAAATGACACTGCAAGTCGCCCACGCCTGCGCGTCTGCTCTTCTGATTAGATAACCGTCGGTGGCCATTGGAGTGGCTTGCGGCGGAGGAGGCGACGCTAAGGTGCGTGTTCGTTCGCTGCGCAAGCCGAGGCGTGCCGCCTAGTCCCACCAATCCCCACCCAGTGTTCCGATAAGAAGTGTGTTATCGTTATCGCTTATCGCCCTGCATCCCGCCCCGAAAAATCAAAAAAATTCAAGTGGAGCCATCGCAAAAAGAGAGAGAAGTCGCTACTCTTTTTTTTCTGTTCCGCTCTGCAAAACACCGAGTCCAGGACTGATGCAAGCAATTGCACCTGGTTTTTGGGCGCAACACACAACATGAGCTCACTCAAGAGAAAGGATGCCCCCGGGGGTACTCCTCCGTCAAAATCCGCCAAGTCCACAAAGGCATCACGCCCCTCGAAGCGCGACACTCCTACGAAGGACCGCAAGCAGGACGGCGGTAAGGACAAGAAGTCGAGGGAAGAGGCACCCGCACCCAAGGCCCCGACCGTCTCGAGACTCCTCAAGGATGAAGAGCCTCTGTTCCCTCGTGGCGGCGGCAGCGTCCTGACGCCCCTAGAGCAGAAGCAGATCACAATGGAGGCGAAGGCAGACGCCGCCAAGGAAGACGCCGAGTTCGACGTCAACGAGAAGAGCAAGGCAAAGAAGGAGAAGAGGAGGAAGGCCAAGGAGGCCAAGGACACGGACGCGAAACCTGCTCGCGACGAGGATGCCGTGAAGATCGAGGGTCTGAACTTCAAGCGTCTGGTCAAGGGCTCTCTCGTCCTCGGTCAGATCAGCCACATCGACCCCGTCCAGCTCACGATCGCCCTGCCGAACAACCTGACGGGCCACGTCTCGATCGCCTCAATCTCGGATACCATCAATGCGAAACTGGAGGGCGCCATGGAGACCTCCGACAACGAGAGCGAAGACGAAGACGGGGAGGACGATGTCGACCTGAAGTCCATGTTCAGGATCGGCCAATACGTCCGCGCATACGTTCTTTCGACCTCCGACGACACAGCCGGCGGAAAGGCCAAGAGACGCATCGAACTTTCTTTAAGACCTGTCGACACCAACACCGGCCTTTCTAGCGATGATGTTGTGGCCAATGTTACCCTCATGGCCTCTATCGCGAGCGTGCAGGATCACGGCTACGAGATGAACTTGGGAATCGATGGAGACCTGAAGGGCTTCCTGTCCAAGAAGGAGATCGGACCCGGCATGGATGAGGCCAGCCTTCGCCCTGGCGCTGTCTGCCTCTGCGTTGTCAAGGGCGTCACCGGTATCGTTGTCCAGCTCTCCGCCGACCCCCAGAAGCTCGGCAACACCTCCAACGTCGCGTCGAATGCCCCTACGATCAACTCATTCCTCCCCGGAACCCTGGCCGATGTCCTTCTTACGGAAGTCACAAAGAGAGGTCTCCAGGGTAAGCTTTTGGGTCACTTGCCCGTCACTGCCGACCTGATCCACTCCGGTGTTGGCCCCGATGGCGTCGATCTTGATGCCAAATACAAGGTCGGTGGCCGTGTTAAGGCGCGCATCATCTGCAACTTCCCGGCCGCCAAAGAGCCCAAGCTTGGCATCTCGCTGCTGCCTCACATCAACAGCCTGCAGTCAAAGTCTTCGGGCAAGGGCAGCAGAGCGAAGGCCCCTCTCGACTTGCTTCCCATCGCCGCTTTCGCCGAGACTTGCACTGTGCGCCAGGTCGAGCCCGACATTGGTCTGTATGTGGACACTGGCGTGCCCGGTATTTCTGGTTTTGTGCATATTTCTCGCGTCAAGGATGGCAAGGTCGATGCTCTCTACGAGAGCAGTGGGCCTTTCAAGGTCGGCACGACCCACCGTGGCAGAGTCGTTGGCTACAGTCCCCTCGATGGCATGTTCCTCCTGTCGTTTGAGAAGTCGGTCCTTGACCAGGCTTTCATTCGTCTCGAGGATGTCCCTATTGGCCAGATTGTATCCGGCAAGATTGAGAAGATGATTATTGGCGAGAACGGTGTTAGCGGTCTGATTGTCAAGCTTGCGGAGAACATTGCCGGTTACGTTCACGAGTCTCACTTTGCCGATGTCAAGCTCCAGCACCCTGAAAAGAAGTTCAGAGAGGGAATGGAGGTCAAGGCGCGTGTTCTTTCCGTGAGGTTGCGCAAGCACCAGCTCCGTCTCACGCTGAAGAAGTCCCTCGTCAGCTCCGACTCTACCATCATCAAGAACTACGATGACGTCGAGGTTGACATGCAGACACCTGGTACTATTACCTCCGTCAGCGCAGATGGTGCTCGTCTTGAGTTCTTTGGCGACGTCAGGGGTTTCCTTCCCGTATCACAGATGAGTGAGGCTTACATCAAGGACCCAAGGGAACACTTCCGCGCTGGTCAGGTCGTCAGCGTTCACGTCTTGAGCGTTGTCCCCGAGGAGCGCAGGCTCGTCGTCTCTTGCAAGGACCCCTCAGCCTTCGGCCTCGACAAGCAGGCCGCGCTGAAGGCCCTCAAGATTGGCGACCTCGTCTCTGCCAAGGTCTCCCAAAAGACTGAGGATGAGGTCTTTGTCGACCTCGAGGAGAGCGGACTCAAGGCCATTATTCGCGTTGGTCACCTGACGGACAAGTCTGCCAGCAAGACCGAGGCAGCCCTGAAGCGCATTCGCGTTGGCCAGACACTGACGGATCTCATGGTCCTGGACAAGAACGAGCGACGCCGTGCTGTCATTCTGACCCAGAAGCCCAGCTTTATCGAAGCCAGCAAGAACGGAAAGCTTCTGTCCAGCTACGATGATGTCACTGTTGGTGCAGTTGCGCCTGCCTACGTGAGGGAGACTGGCCCCTTTGCCGTTTACGTTCAGTTTGGCGGCAACCTGACCGCTATTCTGCCCAAGTATAAGCTCGACAAGGAGGTGCAGGAGAAGGCGTCATTCGGTATGCGCAAGCACCAGTCTGTTGAGGTCAAGATCGTGTCCTCCAACCCCGAGCAGAAGCGCATCATCGTCGCGCCTTCATCTGCGGTAGAACCTGAGAAGGTCCCGGCCGCTGCAGCCCTGAATTCCGTCGATGAGAAGATCCGCAACGTCAACGACGTCGCCCTGGGAACCACCATGGACGCGAAGGTTGCCTCCGTCAAGGCCACCCAGATCAACGTCAAGGTCGCCGACAACATCCAGGGCCGTATTGATGTTTCCCAATTTTTCGACAACTGGGAAGACATCGTCGACAAGAAGATTCCTCTGAAGAAGATCAAGGTCGACGAAATCATCCGCGTCCGCGCCATCGGAATCCACGACTCCAAGAACTACCGCTTCCTGCCTTTCTCTCACCGTTCGACACACTCCATCATCGAGCTCACCGCCAAGAAGAGCGACGTCGAGGCCAAGGAGGTCGACCTTCTTTCTTACGACAAGTTGAAGGTTGGCGATTCCCACATTGCCTTCGTCAACAACCACGGCAAGAACTGTCTCTGGGTCAACCTGTCACCTACTGTCCGCGGAAGAATCAGCATTATGGAGGTTTCTGATGATCTGTCTCACGCCGGCAACCTGGAAAAGTACTTCCCGGTAGGATCCGCCCTGAAGGTCAAGGTTGTGTCTGTCGATGCTGAGAAGGGCCATCTGGACTTGTCCTCTCGTTCATCATCTGGTACCAGCGAAATCAAGTGGGACTCCCTCAAGAAGAACCAGATCCTTCCTGGAAGAGTCACTAAGGTCAACGACCGTCAGCTCATGATCAAGCTCAGCGACGCTGTGTCTGGTCCTGTCCACCTGGTTGACCTCTGTGACGATTATGACGAGGCCAACACCCTCAAGTTCAACAAGGGTGAGATCATTAGAGTGTCTGTTGTTGAAGTTGACAAGAGCAACAAGAGGCTCAGGCTGTCTACCCGCCCTTCCCGTATCTTGAGCTCCACATCACCTGTTGCCGACCGCGAAATCACATCTCTGGCGCAGCTTACCTCTGGAGACATCGTTCGCGGCTTTGTCAAGAACGTCGCAGACAACGGCGTTTTTGTCCAGCTTGGAGGCAGCATCTCTGCTCTGGTGAAGATCGCCAACCTGTCTGACCGTTATATCAAGGACTGGAAGGGCAGCTTCCAGGTCGATCAGCTGGTCAAGGGTCGTGTCATCAGCATCGACACTGCTATCAACAAGATCGAGTTGAGTCTCAAGGCCTCTGTCGTCGAGAACGACTACACCCCTCCCATCACATGGAAGGATATCAAGGAGAGCCAGATCATCACCGGCAAGGTTCGCAAGGTAGAGGAGTTTGGTGCTTTCATTGTCGTTGACAACTCAACAAACGTCAGTGGTCTGTGCCACCGCAGCGAGATGGCCGAGAAGCCTGTGGAAGACGCCCGCAAGCTCTACAACGAGGGCGATGTTGTCAAGGCGA